GGTAAATATTACCTTGGTCTCATAACCATTCTATAGTTCTCCAAGTCTTATTCCCCTCTCTAAATAATCATGGCTCAGATGGTAAGGCGTCTGCCTACAACATGGGAGGCCTGGGTTCGATCCCTGGGTCGGGAAGATCCTCTGAAGGAGGAAATGGCAACCCACTCCAGTACTCTTGCCTGGAAAATCCCATGGATGGAAGGGCCTGGTAGGCTACAGTCCACGGGGTCGCAGAGTCAGACAGGACTGAGTGACTTCACTTTCACTTTCACAGCACTGCCAAACCCAGCTTCATATCATTTTTTTAAAGAATTTATTTATGGTTGTAAACAAAAATATAGGCAAAAAGGCATCAATGTAAAGCACGAACCACTTACAGTATTAGATTCCATTCCGATTCTTGTCAGTAAATTCAATCATAGTTTTAAAATATTCATCATATTGCTGTTATCCCTTCCTTACTCTTTGAAGTCTTAATTAAGATTTCATCATGTCATGGTCTTAACTCTTTCGCCTTGATTTTAAAATTTAACTGATATTAAATTACTACTTCAAAGAGAGAATGTAAAGAGTAGGATTTGAATCAGATCTAGGTCCCAATGAAATTTTGTCAGTTATTAGGTGCGTGAACTTAGGAAAATTTATCTAAGCTTTAAAATATGCTCATCTATAAATAATAAATAAAAATAAAATAATGGCTATTTTAGAGGATTGGGGATTTTGAGGAATTTAGGTTAAGGGTGTGAAGCATAGAAATCTCTCTGAGTTCAGTCCTTTCGGATTCTTTGCAACCCCATGGACTGCAGCCCTCCAGGCTCCCATAGATACATACAGCCTGCCAATATGCCTGCCGATAAGCAGACATTCAGTAAACTGTAGTTATTATCCTCCCAATATCACAAGCTTGCATTCACTAGATTCAACAATCAGGCTGTAGAATTTTAGCCATCAAGGATGCTGTCTAAAGTCGGGAGGCACACACTGCCTTCTGAGGAGGGTAGGAAGAGGAACTGTCCCATTACTTCTTAGCCTCACCGCCTCAGTGTGAAGGAAGTGATGCTGGTATACTTGGGGACAGTGTCTAATGTCGTCTCGCGCCCTGGTAGTCTGTGTTTTGGAGGAGCCGGCTTTCAGATTTGCTCCCTGGGGACCTTGTTCACCACGTCTCATTCTGGAAAGGGGAAGGGAAAAAGAAAAAGGGAAGTCACCGAAATGCAAAACCTGTTACAGTGCCCTATTTTGTCCCTGCTATCAGGCCTGCCCCGGTAGGCTACAGAATCCTTTCGCAGGAAGATTTTAAGGCGCCACCCCCAGGTGTTTGCGCAGACGATGGGGAGGTGGGTGAGCTCACCCTAAAACTGAAAGACAGATGGTGAAGGGTGGGGGTTGGCCATGCGCGTTAGAGCTTTGGCTAAAGGACAGAACAGCAGCGTGTGGGTTTGCACCGGGGCTCGGGGGCAGGGGGACGGTGAAGGGCCGACGTAAGGGTCAAGCAGAAGTCAACAAAGAACTTTGAATACTCAGAATACTGAGCATTTCTTTGCACTCTCAAGAAGGCTCCCGGATTTGTCAGTGTTGCGACAGGAGCTGCGAGCAGGGCAGGGACTTTACGTGACGAGCGCCTGCCCCACTTCTATCTCTGATACTCAACTTAACTCAGAGGTTCGCTTCAGCGGAGAGCAGGTTACACATCTAATGAGTGACCTCGCATCCACCGAATCCCCCCACCACTTCTGAAAGCCGGAAACACGCCCCCTCAAGCACTGGGCCACGGCCGCGCATGCTCCGTGCGAGGGGGCGGGCCGCTACTCTCGCCGGAAGCGTTCTTTCCCAGGCGGCGTTTCTTTCCGGTGTAAGGCTGGTAAGTGCTCCTGCGGCCGCTGTTTCAACCCCGGGGGTGAGTAGCGGCTTCCCGCGGGGCTTCGTGGGGCGGGAAATGGGTCCCGCTGAGCTCCTTCAGGGACCCGCGCGGGCCTGGGAAGCCGATCTCGGGTCACCTCGCCGTCCTTCCGCGCCCCACCTCATTGTCGCCTCTCAGCTTCCCGCAGCCCTTCGTATCCACCGGATTAACCTCCAAGGGCGTCCCGGGCTTCGCATTGGCTCCCGGCCCGGCCTAGGCCCTTAAGTCTCCGTTAGCGCTGCTCCCAGGACGTAGGCCCTTTCCAGGGAATCTCTAGGCAGCCTGGTCGCTGCGGTGGCTTGAGGATCGTTCCGGGCGACCTCAGAACTGGGGTCCTAGGGAAAGGCGGCCAGAACGAGCCGGGTCTGATTGTCGCACAGGCACTGCTACCACCTCGTGCAAAAGTGGAGGTGGTTCTTCAAGCCTGGGCACACTTTCGCGGAGGATGGTGCTGTTAATAATAACCCGCCCTTTATGTGAGTGTTGGCAGGCTTTCTTTGTCACAGGCAGTATTCATAGGGCCTTGATGTCTGCGAAACTGGGACTTCTGGGGTTGAGAAAAACTTTGTAGAACACTGCAGTGAATTAGAGAGGTGCTGTAGCATGAATACCATACTCTTGGACCTTAACCTACCAGTAAACTGCTTATTGAGGAGGTGGTACGATTTTAAAGTTTACTACACTGAAATGGAGAACTCTTTATAATGGAGCTATATGTTGTTATATTTGCCTAACAAATAACTGAGTTAACGGTGTTTTGCCATATTAGTTGTACATGGCATCATCCATGTTTATGTGTATATTTGTGTATTGATCCTAATGTTCATACAAAATTGAAATATAGCCCATAGTGTTGTATGCATGTGCAACTTTTATTATATATTCTGCTGTAATGGTATTGTTACCGTAACAGCCTTACATTGCAAGCATATCAATGTCATATGAATGATAGATGAGTGTATAATCAAGTACTCAATTACAACCTACAAGTAGAAGTTTCACTTTCATTTCTGGATTTTGAAGTCATTTTAGAAGAAGGATCCCTTTTAGAAGTGACTAGGTCCAGAGTACTCTATTGCAGCTAATAGTTTAATTATAGGAAAATATATGGTTAGCAAAGACTTTGTCTTGGTTTTTCTAATAGGTTTAAAAATTGTTATCTCGTTGAATGGGGTATATTGATAGTAGTCCTAGTTCGTGTATTTCAGTGACCATCCAGTAGATGGCAGTCTTATCACTACTAACTCAAAACTTTTGAAAACATTTTATTTGACTACCACTAGTTTAAGCTATGGAGAAGGAAATGGCAACCCACTCCAGTATTCTTGCCTGGAGAATCCCAGGGATGGGGGAGCCTGGTGGGCTGCCGTCTATGGGGTCACAGAGAGTCGGACACGACTGAAGTGACTTGGCAGCAGCAGCAGCAGTTTAAGCTAATAAATCTTTATTTTGCCTGTTGTTTTATTTTCAGTTGTGAATAATGCTCCCACATAATGATACCACATGTTCCAACTGAATTTTCAAATTTACTGTGTTGGAATAAAGACTGGAGAAGACAGTTTTCCACTTACTATAAGAAGGAGAGTATTGTTAACCCATTTTTAGAAATCCTTGATGATGATAGCACACTTTGATTTGTTACACATAAGAGATTTTTAACTATATGGCTTTTCTCTAGCTTTTTTTGTTGTTGTTGGAGAGGGGGTTGGTTATTCCAGCTTAATTTTTAATAAGATAATAATGGACTGTGCATTCCTGAAGTAAAGTAATTATGTCTTAGCCATTATTGTATACTCAAGATACAGTAGGCAATATATACACATGCTTGATAAGTGCTTTATTGTATGAATTAAGTCATTTAATATCCCTAGGCCAAAATGTCTTTATCCAAAATAAAGGTTTTTCAGTTATTTAATTTAAACCCAATTAAATAGTGTATTGTTGTGAAGTGAATGTCTCCTAGTGATGCAGAAGGTTGGAATCCTTGACTTTTCTTTTGGAAGTCGTTCAATAGTCTGACACCAGTTCTGTTGGAATGACAAGGAAATCTTTAAATAGTACTAGTGAGAATAGAAACAATTTTAGAGCTGGAGTGACCATAAATTAGCTTATGAAGAACCGAATTTTCACCTGTTGTTCTGAGTACAGATTTTGGATTATTCCTTTTCACATGAATGCAAAATATACATTCCCCCCGCCCCCCCCACAAATCACATAGTACTCAGCACACTCCTTGTGGAGAGAGTATAATGGCCTTATTTGAGGCCGAGATTCTCTCTCAACACATGACAGTCACATCATCCCTAAAGCTTATTCTACTGGATGGTCATTTCCTTTGACACCGGTGTGCATGCCTCCTGTAAGCTAAGCTGTGGTTGATGTAACTGCTTAGGTATATGTGTAAAAATAGGCATGTTGTCTCCTTTATTCCTCTTTATCTTGGGTGAGAGCTGTATTTTTGTGGCTCAAACATTTTGAAGATTCTGCTTGTTGATACATAGCTAGGTTGTTGGAAATAGTAAGATGGCTCCAAAAATTTCATGTCACCTGTGAATTGAGAGAATGGCATGTATAAATTTTAGCAGGCTTTGGAAACCTTTAAAAGTAAATATGAGGGAACAGTGAATCAGTTCACAGTTTCAATTTTACTCAGAAATTACCTCATGCACCATTACATTAGTAAAGTATTTCATTGTTTGGCTGCCTTTTTTCAGTTGTGTAAGTATTATAGTCATTATTTTTCTAGATTCCCTGAAATAGTTATTGAAAAGTTCTTTAAGAGAGTAAGTGCCTTAAGGCATTTACTGCATTTTTGAATAGAATTATTCTGTACTTAAAATTATATGAACTTTTAAGAAAATTTATTAAAAAATTTAATAAATAAGCCTGTTTCCAAGAGGAGCTTAAAATGTGTTTGTTTACTTAATATTAAAAAATCCGTTTCTCCTTAACTAAAACAATTACAAGGTAGGTAATGTTGATTTTGACTAAAAGTCATTTTTTCTTGTTTAGTTTATGCTACCTATCAGTCTCCCAATTTTAATGCATATAGTTATTATCTACTGACATCTCTATTTGTTTTTTAAGGTTAACAATCAAGATGGTACATGCTGAAACCTTTTCTCGTCCCTTGAGTCGGAATGAAGTTGTTGGTTTAATTTTCCGTTTGACAATATTTGGTGCAGTAACATACTTTACAATTAAATGGATGGTAGATGCAATTGATCCAACCAGAAAGCAAAAGGTAGAAGCCCAGAAACAGGTATGATTAAAATGTTTGAGGATCATTTTTCTTGTAGCTAACAAATACTTTTTCATAAAACTAAGGATATAGTAGAATTATAAATTATTGACAAATTCTATAAGACCCATGTGGAAATATGTTTTTATATAATATTTAATTTCATTATTCCTAAAAAAGTATTTTTTGTTAAATCCTTTTCAACCGTATAGGCAACTTAGGAGAAAAAGTGAAGAATAAAAATATTACAGTATTTTTAATGAACATCCTGGTTAGAATAATTTTTCAGCGTATAAATGAAGGAATCTAGGTAAAATTTTTCAACACACTAAATAAAAAATTTTATCTTCAGTAATGGTATACATTTTACTTTGTGTAACATGTGAAATGTTCCTGTTTTGTAAATAAGTTCATTTGTATTGTATTTTAGACTCCACATATAAGTGATAATCATATGATATTTGTCTTTCTCTGTTTGATTTATTTCACTTAGTACAATAATCCCTGTGTCCATCCATGTTGCTGCAGATGGCATTATTTCATTCTTTTTTATGGCTGAGTAGTATTCCACTGTTAATATGTACTGCACCCATCTTCTTTTAGCATTCATCTGTCCATGGACTTTTAGGTTGCTTCCAGGTCTTGACTATTGTAAATAGTGCTGCAGTAAACATTGGGGTGCATGTATCTCTTTGAGTCATAGTTTTCTCCTGATAGAGCCCCAGAACTGGGCTTGCTGGATCCTATGACAGTTTTATTTTCAGTGTTTTAAGAAACCTCCATACTGTCCTCCATAGTGGTTGCACCAGTTTACATTCCCACCATCAGTGATGGAAGGTTCCCTTTTCTTCACACCCTGTCCAACATTTACTATTTGTAGACTTTTTAGATGATGGCCATTCTGACTGGTGTGAAGTGATACTTCATTGTAGTTTTGATTTGCATTTCTCTAATAATTAGCAGTGTTGAATGCCCTTTCATCTGCTTATTGGCCATCTGTATGTCTTTGAAGAAATGTCTGTTTAGGACTTCTGCCCATTTTTGGATTGGATTGTTTGGTTTTTGTTGTTGTTACTGAATCACATAAGCTGTTTGTATATTTTAGAAATTAGTCCCTTGTCAGTAGCATTGTTTGCAAATATTTTCTCCCAGTCTGTAAGTTGTCTTTTCATTTTGTTTATTGTTTCCTTTGCTGTGCAAAAACTTGTAAGTTGGATTGTGGAAGTTGTGTTCGACTCTTGGCAACCCCATGGACTGTACCGTCCATGGAATTCTCCAGGCCAGAATACTGGAGTGGGTAGCCGTTCCCTTCTCCAGGGAATCTTCCCAACCCAGGGATCGAACCCAGGTCTCCCGCATTACAGGCAGGTTCTTTACCAGCTGAGCCACAAGGGAAGCCCAAGAATACTGGAGTGGGTAGCCTATCCCTTCTCCAGCAGACCTTACCAACCCAGAAATCAAAGTGGGGTCTCCTGCACTCCAGGGAGATTCTTTACCAGCTGAGCTGTCAGGGAAGCCCTGATGAGTTTGACTAGGTCCCATTTATTTCCTTAGAAAACATTGCTATTATTTATGTCAGAGAATCTTTTGCCTATGCTTTCTTCTAGGCATTTTATGGTATCATGTCTCATATCTAGGTCTTCAAGCCATTTTAAGTTTATTTTTTGTATGGTGTGACCATCTTTTCTAACTTGATTGATCTGCATGCAGCTGTCCAGCTTTCTCAACACCACTTGCTAAAGAGACTGTTTTTTCCTCCATCGTATATTAAAGATTTTAGGTGATGTTCACAGCAATGTTTTATGAATAATTCACCTTACTGTAGCATATAACAGGAATTTGAATCAGTGTCAACTTAAAAAAGATGTACTATAAGAGTTGTGAGTTAAGTTTTATTGGGGGCAGAATGAGGACTACAGGCCGGTAGATAGCACCTCAGATAGTTCTGAGAAACTGCTCCAAAGAGGTGGGGACAAGGTCTGTTTGTGATTTTGGTGAGGGGGGAGTTCTTGCAATCAAGCACTTATCTTACAAAAAGGTTTTCTGCTGGTCACAAGGAGCTGATGTCTGAATTACGAGGGTTGTGCTAAACTATCGCGATGAAAGTTATTGAATAACTAGGTCATTTCCAAATAAAATAAAGATTCAGAAAGGAGAAGGCTGTAGCTTCCATTACGGCATGTGTTATAACCCCTGCATTCGTAGCTGCTCCCACAACCACATCAGCACAGGAAAACCAGAAGCAGAGCCAGAGCCTGGAAAGGAGCCTGAAAGTGAGGCTGAAGGTAACCTTGATGACTTAGAAAGGCACCTGCATGAGAAGGCCCTGAGATCAGTGCGGAAGGCTCAAGTGTCCCCAGAGTCCTAGGTGGAAATGCTTGTTATAATGTAAATTTTATTTGGTTTGTATGCAATTCAGTTTCAAAATTGCTAAAATGTGTTTGAGCTTTATAATATTTGTTGTAATAACTGCTAGGTTGAAGTTCATCACCACATGAAAAAGAAAAAGGGCATGGATATACTTTGCAAAAGATGTCCACAGTGTATTAGTGATATTTTTTCATTGACAGATGACATAAATGTGTTTAGAGTGAAATATTTTAAGTCAAAAAAGAAAAATCCCCTTTTTAAAAAAGGGGGTTTAAATATTGTTGGCATTCTTATGGTTCATTTAAATACCCCTGGCTATTCCCAGAGGTTTTTCTTTCTACTTTTTCTCTTTTTTCCCTTTTTCTCATTTGAGTCTTAGCACCCACTTATGATGCTTTCAATCTTGTATGGTTTGCAAGTTTGCTCAGAACTACTGTTGAGCTACCACAAAACTGTACATGAATATTTTAATGTCACAATCTTTCCTGTCGCCTGTGGATTCTCTGCTGAAATGAATCAGGATTCTAGCTCTATGATGAGAAAGAAAATGGAAGCATGTTGTGCCAGGACACTGTGGGTTTATATAGATGTGTAACAAGTTGATTTGGAACACTGGAATTTCATTCTTTTCTCTTTTTTTGTAAAGGCAATTAACTAGTCCCAGGAAGGATCCTTCAGTTTATGTAAAATTTTGTTTTATGAAAAAAAATTAAGATTCAGAAATATTAATTACTGAACACTAACTTTCTCTTCCAGAGAAACTAGAGATTTTGGACTATTAATAAATAATGTCCAATGCCATCCTGAAATGTCCTCTATAAGAAAGCAATTGTTTTTAGAAATGATCACTGGTATTTATGTTTTCCAGTCTACAGAATACTAATAAAAAGGACAGTTAGTTCATGATTGCTTAAGGAAAGTGTGATGTGACTTTCTATTAAAGAAAGTATGAGGAATGGAATTGATTTTGCTAAGGGGACAGGAAATTGTCTCATTTACCTGGGGAGGTGGATGGGTACAAGGAGCCACTGCTGGTACCAAGGCTCCATTCCTCAGAGAGTTCAGGCAAAGGAAGGAAGTCCACTCTGGGTCTTTTCATCAGTCGTCATAACTGTCAACTTAAAAGATGCACAATGTGAGAGTTGCCAGTTAAGTTTTATTTGGGGCAAAGTGAGGACTGCAGCCTGGGAGACAGTACCTCAGATACCTCTGAGAAACTGCTGTTTATGAAGGTGTCAGGCAGGGAGCAAGTAGGTCAGTATACATGATTTTGGTGAAGGAATGTTCATGCAATCAAGCACTTTTTGTACAAAAAGGTTTTTCTACTGGTTCCAAGGAGGTGATGTCACCATGAGGGGACTTACTTAGTGCTTTTCTAAATATGAGGAGATCCAAGGATGAGTTCAGGTCAGTTAAGTTGCTCAGTTGTGTTGGACTCTTCGTGACCCCATGGACTGCAGCTCGCTAGGCTTCCCTGTCCATCACCAACTCCTGGAGCTTGCTCAAACTCATGTCCATCGAGTTGGTGATGCCATCCAGCCATCTCATCCTCTTTGGTCCCCTTCTCCTGCCTTGAATCTTTCCCAGCATCAGGGTCTTTTCCAAGGAGTCAGTTCTTCGCATCAAATGGCCAGAGTATTGGAGCTTCAGCTTCAGTCCCACCAATGAATATTCAGGACTGATTTCCTTTGGGATTGACTGGTGTGATGATCATGGAGTCCAAGGGACTCTCAAGAGTCTTGTCCAACACCACAGTTCAAAAGCATCAATTCTTCGGCACTCAGCTTTCTTTATAGTCCAACTCTCACATCCATACATGACAACTGGAAAAACCATAGCTTGGACTAGGTGGACCTTTGTTGGCAAAGTAATGTCTCTGCTTTTTAATATGCTGTCTAGGTTGGTCACAGCTTTTTTTCCAAGGAGCAAGCATCTTTTAATTTCATGGCTGCAGTCACCATCTGCAGTGATTTTGGAGCCCAAGAAGATATCAGTTCCTGAAAGTAACTATCTGTAGACCTGTTCCAGCAGTTTCTCTGGAGCGCAAAATGCCTCATTCTCAACCCTAGATTCCCTTCAGGGCATGTCTAAGGTCAACAGCTGTGGCAGCACACAATTCAGTCCTCTCAGGGACAGAAGACACATGCCCTTGGCAAGTGCCAATATGTCACTGACAAAGGAAACTAGAAGGAAGATCTAGCTGTTGGTTATAGACAAGTAGTGCTGGCAAAGACCTAGAATAAAAGAGTGACAAAAGGAGTGGAGTGGGTAAAGTAGGTAAATGTTCGAAGGATTTTGTGATGATGAGAAAAGGGACATCTTACAGATAAATCTGAGATTTGTCTGGAACCCTCAGACTCCTAGTATCTTTTATAGAGTTTTAGAATCTGTAGATGGGGCAAATACTTGAGAAGGTGACGTTTGATTTGGGCATATTCAGTTTGTGTTGGTAGGAATCCAAGGGAAAATATTCATGGAGCTGTTGAAATTGTAGGTCTAAATGGCAGGGAAGGATCAGTCTTTGTGTTAGTCACTCAGTCGTGTCCATCTCTTTGTGATCCCATGGACTGTAGTACACAAGAATCCTCTCTCCATGGGATTCTCCAGCAAGAATACTGGAGTGGTTGCCATTTCCTGCTCCAGAGGATCTT